CCCTTTTGGGGTGTAACTCTGGAGTCTCTCTCTCTCTCTCTGCTTCGACTCCTGACTATAGGCAAGTATTAATCGTTCAATGTGATCCTCTTTCCCTACTACTCACTACACACTACTACACTATCCTATCATAATACTTCACCCTTAAAATAATCTTCCCGTAAAGTTATACATATTAAAAGCCCACATACTATATTTATCACAAAAATCAGTAATCATAACTATAACACAAATGTGCGTGGTCTGCACACTACCAGTAACCATAACACATACACTATAACGACAACCATGTTTACCCCACTAACCTTTGCCTGTTACTTGTTACAGTATTTTTCTTATTCTACCCTAAGGGCTCGCTGGCACACTGGAGTTTGCTTTCAACATTTTACCACAACACTGTTATCAACAATAATGTTTAACAGCATGGCTAGTATGAGAAAAGAGACTTACTTGTGATAAGAGATGCAGGCCAGATTCCACCACTCCGGCTGACCACTGATTATTATGTGTTTGATCAGATCCCCAAGTCTCCTGAATTCAGTAATTTATATCTTTAACTTGCTGACTCTGCGGTTGATGAAAGAGGGAGGTTAACTCCTCCTTTCATCCTCAATTTCGGGGTGGAGGGTTTCCATTGGCTACCCCTACGGTTGTGGGTGGTTCCATGTTCCTCTTTGCTGCTTATTTAATAANGTTTAACAGCATGGCTAGTATGAGTAAAGAGACTTACTTGTGATAAGAGACGCAGGCCAGATTCCACCCCTCCGGCTGACCACTGATTATTATGTGTTTGATCAGATCCCCAAGTCTCCTGAATTCAGTAATTTATATCTTTAACTTGCTGACTCTGCGGTTGACGAAAGAGGGAGGTTAACTCCTCCTTTCGTCCTCAGTTTCGGGGTGGAGGGTTTCCATTGGCTACCCCTGCGGTTGTGGGTGGTTCCGTGTTCCTCTTTGCTGCTTATTTAATAATATTACTATGCTCCAGTGGCCCAGTTAGCGGAGCTTCTTACTTATGCGATTACACATAAATGCTGATCACCAACATTCTTAACCTAGTTCCCTAGTCCATGTGTTGTCATCTTTGCTCGATTGCTGTAAAACACTTTTCGCAAGTCCCAAAACATTTAGGTAATGCCTTAAATTTCCAATCTCAAAATTGGGGCGCAACTAGGCATCCATTCCTGGGCAATGCGTTTGTAGACACACCTGAAAACAATACCTGATATCTGTTGCCGAGCAGCAGTGTGTTGTCTATGGAGTCCATTGCTGGGCAATAGGCTGTTTTCTGTGTTTTTCAGTGCGGAAACTACTTAATGAGAGTATGCGTCAGTGTTGAGCCAGAGGGCAGTTTGAGGAGTGAGTTTAGTGGTGAATCAAGTTTTCACTGTATCACTATTGCTAAATCACGCTCTTCTGTTTACTACAGCACACACTTAAGTCTTCTCAACCTGCTGTGTGTTCACCAATTTTTTGGTAACAGCTTCCAATGGTGGACATTCCCGTTCCCCTTCCTCCGGATTCCTGAACTGTCCCCATACCTCAGCTACCAGCTTTTAACAGCAACAGATCACAAGAGCTGAACTGCAGTAGTCCTCTGACTCACTCCACTTAACTGACTGACAGGCTCAACTCAGTTAACTGACTCTCACTAATTGTCCTTCTTATAATATCTTGGCACGGACCACACAGAAAACTCCGTTCCTCTGTTTGTTGTGCTGTTATTGCATGCGCAGCTATCAGTGTGAACCACGCAGAAAACACCATTCCTCTGTTGTTATTTATGGGCGGCTGCTGTACAGTCATCTGTCTCTCGGTCATTGCCTAGTAACAGGTCTGCATTCCACAATATAGTTATTGCAATGGGGAAAAGTGAAACCAAGTGTCAATCTGTTGTCTATATTCTTAAATCTCATTTCTTTGAATTCATTAAGGAAAATTTATGCTCACAGTTTCCTGTGAATGAAAAATTGGTAACCACTTTCTCCAAAATCTTTGAAATTGCTGTAATTGGAATCGCATGACAGTCCAAAAATAAATTAGCACAGTTTGCAAATTCAACTTCTGTTCTAGTCTCTTATTCTGCAGGTTAATCAGTCTCAACTAATACTTATTTAGAACATTTGTAATATGACAGGAGAAAGGACAAGTCAACACCTGAATTTAATTTCCTACTTTCTTGAAATCTCATGAGTAAATCAACTACAAAATGCTAAGTTTCCTAAGAATGTTGTTACACTCACTGGCTTCACTAGAACTTATTTGTATTATTTCAGAATAGGAAAATGTATTAAATTATTTTCCTTAAGTTCTTTCAAGAATGAAAGCAGTTTTTTTAAAGCCTGTTTATAACTCTTATACAAGGAAGTCTTTTTCTTGAAGAATTGCATTTACTATTATTCAGATGTTCCAAAACATCAACCAGGAATGCTGGGTCAGTCTTTCAGTTTTTGACTTTCAGTAGTGGAAACATTAGATATTCATTCAACATGTCCAATTATATTAGTACGAGGGTTGGAACTTTAATAGTGGCAACACCGCTATAGAGACGCCATGCAATGGAACCAAATAATGTCGTTTATACCACACGTTAGTCACATACCTACCTTACCTCAGAGCAAATGGACTCTCCCTTCCCACATCACGCGCATGCGCAGTGAAGAGAAGAACAAGGCCTCGTGTTACCTGGCGGTCTAATGTAGTGTTGTCACGAGGTTTTCGAAACAGGAACAACGGAGTTGGGTAAAGATTGAATGTGCCGGAGGCCGTACAGCATGACAGTGTCATCAAGGTCTTCAAGAGGCTTGCGGGGAATCTGTATTGCCTTACAGAACAGTGGCAAGGTGGTTAAAAGCCTTCAACGAGGGACGCCAAAATGTGGCCGACATGCGTCGGCCAGGTCGTCCTAGTGTCAGTGA